TTTCATGTTGAAATTGACAAGTTTTGATCACAGGAAAAAGTCTGCAATATAAGCCGCACCCCAAACTTTCACAAACTGAATAGCCGCCACATATTTCAGAAAAAGATATACTACTGTAAAATGACTAATATTCACTGGGTTTAAATTTCACTGATTTACCATTTCAGGCATATTCAGTGGGTTTTAAATTCACTGTTTCGTCATTTAGATAATGTGTTCTATGCTAAATTTTACATATTCACTGTGTTTTAATTTAGCGCATTTTTCCAGTCAGCGAAATAAGCTAAATTAAAACCCAGTGAATAATTACCCCCTTTACAGTATTTAATTTTAAATTAAGGCATAATTTTTCGAACATTTCAATCTTTCCTGACGCCTAGATTAGAGTCTAATTTAGGTTTTCCATAGTCATTGACGCTTATTCAAGATTACAGTGTTTATTGTGGGTAGCGTGAATGGGTAAACTGCGTTTCAACAATGAGCTGTTGTTATCGTCAAAAGTGTTAAATTCTTCTTCAATGCTCAGCTAATCTTTCGAAAACAACGAATTTCTTGATTTAAAAAAAAAAATCATGCTGTTTTCCCATCAAATTCAAAGCCAAACGATCATTACAACAACGGTAAATCTCTTCTGTGTTGCGTTCACCATGAAGTTGCTGAACTACATTAACATATTTAAATGAGCTATGGTAATTCAGACACATGGGCACTATCCAGCGTTTCGATTGGTTAATTAGCGACTTGACCTATCGGGTCAAAAAACAGTTTCAAGTTACTAAAGTGTTTGAACAAGCATGGTGGATATCGTATCGGATTGAGCGTTTATATGTGACCGAAATCATTCGTTTTCGGTGAAGCTAAGTTGAATTTTCACAACAATTCAACGAATTTATTTTTTGTATGTTATTGTAATCACTTCTGAAAAATAATCATCAATTATAACACTTCGAAAATAAGTAAGTTATTCACTTGTGTGAAACGCAGCATGACCAGCTGGATTGCGATACCGTTACCCTATTCATTTGCTACTAAGAATGCATTCGTTTTTGACTCCCATGTGCGAAGCACAAAATGGGAGTCTTTGCAGTTAGTGTGTCTGTATGTGTGTGTGTGTGTGTGTGTGTGTGTGTGTGTGTGTGCGTGTGTGTGCGTGTGTGTGTGTGTGTGTGT